TATTAGTTGTGGTCGTATATTGGTTGTGTTAGTTTATTTATTTTAAAATCATATGCGGATATGCCCCAATTTATAGATAAACATCATTTGTAGATAAACATACAAATGAGATTTGAACACCACTCATTATAAAATGGAAAAAATACTAGCATATAAAGAAATACAAAAGTGTTTATATATTATGAAAACAATATCAAGTTCTATCATCTATTCTAATTCTAAGAGTAAGAAGAAGGAAGGGAATATTCCAAAGTTCTGACAAAATGAAAAATTTTCAAAGCCGTCTCTCTTGCCCACGTCTCTCAATTTTTTTGTGGACACTGTCTCAACTATCACCATCTGTTACCCTCATCATTTTGGGTGTTATGTAACAGGCAACTTGTTGTATCCCACAAATGCGGTCCTCAAAGCAAAAGTCACACTCTGCACCACAAATGTCATAATATGTATATGTATATATATATATACATATATATATTATATTTACATGATCGTTTATATATATAACAAAACAAAAGTTCACGTTTTGTTTTGCTGTTCTTAATTAGGTGAAACATTAAGCTAGTAATTTTACCCAAAAAAAAACATTAAGCTAGTAAACATTTTGTGGGTTTTACTGTCTAAAAAGTTCCCCTAGTCGAAAAGAACCAAAACAAGTCACGTGATCGACAATGTTGTGATTATTGGGCCTAGTTGGGCCACTGTGGCTCATATGTATATAAATGTAACTAGATCATCCAGGTGCCTTAGAGCAAGTGCAGTGAATTCTTTCTGGGGTTTATCAGATTAAATAAATAATTTTTTTTTTTGTTTTTATGATGAACTTTGGTTAAGTTTGAGGTTTAAGTAGTGAATCCGTTAATGGGGTTCATCCGGAATTTTATATTATTTTATATTTTTTTAATTATTTTTTTTGTAATTAAAATAAAAATCACTTATTAAAAAAAGAATACAATTTATTGCAAACTATAAAAAAATACAATTTATTAAGAAAAAAATTCAAACACACAATTTTTAAAATATCAAAATACTTAAACATTTGTTATACAGAATTTCGATTTTCGATTCAATTAGTGATGAGAGGTGTGTATAACTCACTTTAAAACATAATTATTTATCATGAACGGCTTAAGCATAATTCACATAATACATTGAATTGTTTTCAAGGGTTTAAGCGTGCTCCAAAGTAGTGGATAACAAAAGAACATAAAAGATCAAGATAGATGAACTAAACTCTAAGCCCTAGCGTGCTCCAAAGTATATTCCCGAGCTCTTTCATCAAACCCCGCCTTGTCTTCCTTGTACATCTTCGCTTTGTCTTCATCAAAGTAGTCCCCCTCACCCAATTCAGGGTTGCTCAGCATCTCATGAATTTTAGTGAGAATCTTATGGATGGTGTAACTGGGCGAGAAGTAGTCGGTAGTCAGCATCCTAAGGAAGATATGTCCACGATCTCCTACGTTGGGGTGAAAGACCTTGGTTCTGAAGAAGCCCTTGGGTGGCTTGAACGGGTATTCTGGAGGAAAGTGCATGGCAACTTGGAAGACTCCGTTCTCGTAAGGCGATCCTGCTGGTCCAAAAAGCACAGCCTACCAATAACACATATTTCCATCAACGGGGCCTAATCAAATGTGTCAATGAAAAAAAATTAGTACTTTAATCTAAACTCGGAAACAACATATTTAAGCATAATACTACAACGAAATACCTGTATTGTAGAGCGGGCTCTTAACCCTCTCAATTTCCTTTTTCTGCTTCGTGAGGGATTTCTCCCAGTACGGGATTGAACTGTTGCTTTGCATCTTCTGCCCAAAACAGAAGGGGATCAGTACAATACAAAGCCAAACGATATAGAACGATTGGCAAAAAACTACAACGATTGAGTCTACACCTAAACTACAACAATTGCAGTTCAACATCATCATCGATAACTACTTAACATCGACAATGGCAAAAGGCAAGATGATCAAATCATATAGCAGAAAACATACACCCGAATGATGAAAAGCACATATATCAAACAATATCACATATTATAAACACCAAATCATATCACATATATGTAAGGGAATTACAACCAATTTAGTAAAAGTAAGGCAAAGTTAAGTAAACCAATCATGTAAACACCAAGAACAATTCAGTTCATCATCAATAATCAGAACAAGTTACTATACTAAACCCGATCATGTAAACAACAACAACAATTCAGTTAATAATCGATAATGGCAAAGCCAGGATTGTAATAGCATTTATATCAAACAGAAACGTTTAAAAAAACATTCATATGAACCCGATAAAAGAAAATATGCTTCGACAAGGCCATATGGACAAACACTAATCGTAAACACATTATCAGCTTGGTAATGCATTGTAACATACACACGACTAATGCATATGGAAGAACTAAACTCCAATTTGAACCCCAAAGAAAAGCCCCAATATATTTCTCCACAGTGAAAAAACCCTAATTTCATCGAACAAAAATTCACCAAATAAACAGTATAACATGAATTCGTATTCGAAAGCAAGTGAAAAACGGTTGAATTTCATTGTATTACACCCCAATTGCAACCCCAAATGAAAGCCCCAAAAATTTTCCCCAATTCATATGAACCCTAATTTCACCGATTTAAAATTTCTTTCAAATCTCCCTAAAATTTTACTTCTAATCGTTTTCAGGTTTCAATCAGGTGAGATTACAAGAAATCAACACTAATTACCCAGTTTAAACCACCGATTAAAGACTGATAATTTTTGCCCATGAAAACCAAAACCCTAATTTCCCTAAATCGAATAAAAACCAGCAAAGGAAGAGAAGAAACGCTTACCTCGACAATAATCATGGAAGCCTGACCCTCGGTTGTGAACTTCCCGGCAAAAGCTGCACGGTTCCGACGGATTTCACGGTGGCGACGAGAATCGCCGTAGGAGAGGAAGAGAGTGAAGGAAAAAAATCGGGAAAGAGAAATGAAAGTTTGGGGAAAAAATTTTCCCGTCCCCGAAAATTACCCGAAAATCACTCCACTCACGCTTCACCACGTGTCTGGGATGCGAGTTCATCAAGCTCTTCCGGATGAACCGATCCGTCGAATTTGGGCCTTTTTTTTTTTTTTAGTCCATTTCGTCTTAGAACTCGAGCCAAATCCGTCCAACAAACCACTACTGGACCTGGTTTTAGTATCTTTATGAATAAGAATTTTTCGTTTAAGGGACTTTCAAAGGCACCTTTACATGGTATTAGACCATGTCCATTGAAGTTTTTAAAGGGTTTCATAATGGGGTTGTTAGCTATTAGTTGGGTTTTTTAAAAAAAAGGCCCAATTTTTAGGGATCGATCATTACAGAAAGAATTTATGGATCGATCCTTGAGAAGTTTTGTAGTACAGGTAAGAGAATGATATTGGATGGCTGCTAAAAAAAATAGAACCGCTTCTCTATCCAGTCGACCAAAATTTATCCGGACAAATTATCTTCTCCTTCGTATATGTTCGACGATTTTGGGTCTCAACGGCGACGACGATCCAGAACGAAATCAGAGCAAATCGAAGACATAATCGGGTGTTTTACGAAGATTCAGTATCGATTGATGAAGGTTAGTCTCTGTTTTTAGGATTTCGTTGTAGTGTAGTTCGAAATTAGGAATTTTGGTTGGAAGAAATAATTGGAGATTTTTGGTGTAAGCGATATCAGGGTAATTTGATTGAATAATTTTTGAGATTAGGGTAGTTTGAAGACGTTTTTATGCATATATTGATTGAATTTGGTTTTGTGTTCGCATATGATCATTTTTTTTTTATGTTCGTTGAAGCTAACTCTTTGGGTTCTAATTGTTTGACGAGGATAAATGGAGAGAAGGATAGATGATTATTGATGCTGATGATAATTCCTCCAAAAAGCTAACTAAGGTATTTCAGCTTCATTTATCTTTGACAAATGTTCGATTATTTGAGAGTGTTGCATCTGATTTTTGGGTGATATTATTTTGTAGTGGTGGAAGACTATGCAAGCTCACATGATCGACACAGCTTTCTATGGTCATGTCAAGAGTGAAGAGGTTAGTTCCTTCTGAACTAGTACTTCGCATGGATAGTTTGGAATGGAGAGTTAGTTTCCTACTTAAGTATCGGTTAGATAAGATTGTGCATTAATAGTTGGTAGTTGTTTGTTAGGTGAAGAGTTATGGTAATTGTTATGAATGTTTGGTTGTGTAGATTAGCTTTTGAAAGAGTTAAAGCTCTTCTCAAGCATTTATTGCTTAAAAAATTTCTACAAAACATTGATTGCTTTAAAAACCTTTTTTAAAATCACATCAAAACTATCTATACACATCAAAACATAAACAAGAGTTAAAGCTTCCTTTACAGTTCACCACCGGTTTTTAAAAAGACATTTGTTTTGAAACACATAAAAACTTTGACAAGAACTTGCTCAAAAACACTTAACAGTTTTAAAAAATGTATAAGTATGAAACAATGCAATGTAATTCATCTTCATTTGTCCTTGTAAAATTATCGATAACAGTTATTTGTTTTGTGGCTAGGTTAGTTTGGTTCTTAATGCTTGATTGGTAGTTACTTGTTAGGTGAAGAGTTAAGGTTTTTGTTATGAATGCTTGATTGTTTAAAATTGGTTTTAAAAGTGTTAAAACTGTTATGATCAATGCTTGACATTTATTGCATTAAAAACTTTCTAAACCCTAAACACCAAAACTTTCTAAAGACATCAAAACTCATTGAAGAGTTAAACCTTCTACAGATATGATGACCGCTTATATAATGGTCCTTTCTCTAAAACTTTCTAAAAAAAACTAAACTTTCACAAACTTTCTAAACCCTAAACACCAAAACTTTCTAAAGACATCAAAACTCATTGAAGTTTTTCTTTCTTCTAAAAACCATTCCACAAACTTTCATTCCTTCTCTAACATTCATTACTTCTCTAACTTTCTAAACTTTCATTCATTCTCTTTCATTCCAAAAACTTCTGTGAGTTACTCAGTCATGGATTCTTCGAACCCATTTTGTAGCTCACAGGAGTTTGTAAACCTCTTAACAAGCCAAGAGGAACACACATTATGTTTTTCACCTTCTCAAGAGTTTGGATCATCTGATGTTCCAAGGTTTAGCAGCCAAGTACCTGATCAACCAAGTGTTAAAGAACGGAGGAAGTGGTCACCTGTGGAAGATGTGGTGCTGATAAGCGCTCGGCTGAATACCTCTAAAGACCTTGTCATTGGAAATGAACAAAAAGCAGGTGATTTTTGGAAAAGAATCATCGCTTACTTCAACTCTTCACCACAGCTAGCAAATGAACAAGATAGAGAGTCTGGTCAGCTTAACGACCATGTATGTAAGTTTGTTGGCTCTTATGAAACGGCCATGACGGAGCAAACCAGTGGGCAAAATGAGAATGACCTGATGAAGGCAGCTCAGCAGATCTTCTACAACGATCACCTCTTTAAGTTCACCCTTGAACATTGTTGGAGGGAACTTAGACACGACCAGAAATGGTGTTCTGCTTCAATGGTTAAAGAAGGTGGAAGGCCAAAAGAAGGAAGCTTGATGAGACTTCAGCGCATTCTTCAAGCTCACAAACCCAAGCTGATGGAGAGGATGTTAGCATGGCAAGGCCACCTGGTGTGAAGGCTTCGAAGGCTGCAAAAAAGAAAGAGGCTGATACATGCGGTGCTAAAGAAGGAGGAAAAGCTGTGAAGGAGTTTCAAATCATGTGGGAAATCAAGGATAAAGACCTTGCGATGAAACGACAGCTTTCTAGGAGCAAAGTGCTTGCAAGTCTCCTTGCAAAACCAGAACCATTATCTGAAATAGAAGAAGCACTGAAGATCAAGCTTATGAATGAAATGTTTGGAAAGGGCAATATATACGTGGCTCTGGAAAACCGACAATTGTCTTGGAGGCGGTAGCATCACAAAAATCTTTGGATATGGCACACATTTTTTGGACTTCCAGGTACCTTAAACGATATTAACGTTCTTGACCGTTCACCTGTTTTTTATGACATATTACAAGGTCGAGCTCCAAAAGTGCAATACTGGGTTAACGGACACAAGTATAATATGGTATTTATCCAAAATAGGCAACTTTTATACAATCTATTCAACTGCCACAAGGTACAAAAGCATCATTATTTGCTACTTGTCAATAATCCGTTCGAAAAACATGCTTTTGGAGTTCTACAAGCTCGATTTGAAATTGTCAGAAATCCAGCTCTTTTCTGGGATAAGAAAAAATTTGGAAAGATTATGCGAGCATCTATCATATTGCACAATATGATAATAGAAAACGAACGAGATGGCTACACTCAGTATAACATAGAAGAATTCCAACAAACAGATTCAAGCAGAACTTTACAACTGGACACGACGTACTCTACGGATATGCTTTCAAACATCGGCAATATGATCAGCATTCGAAATCAAGTCCGTGATAGACAAATACATGACCGATTGAAAAAGAATTTAGTTGAGCATATATGGAACAAGTTTGGCACTTCTCAAGAGTAGAACTAAAAGTTTTATAATTTAAATATATGTATTTTGAATTTTAATTATTTCATGTAATGTTTTAATTTTTTTTATATGAAATGTATGTTTAAATTTAATATCAAATTATAAAAATTAAAAAAAAATACTAATGGAGAATTAGAATGGTAAAAGTTTCTTAACTTTTCATAATAAAAAAATAAAATAAAAATAATGTTAACAACTCCAATTTGGATCTCTCTAATATACATGCTCTTAGAATCAGAACACATCTTCCCTTAACCATAATCGATTCGGCCTGGAAAATGGCATGATCAATCTGTCCCAAAATCCGTTTGACCCAAAATAAATTTTGCTGATACATTCTGAAATTATCCTCGAATGAGATAGTGTTGAAAACTTGAAATAAATGGCTAAACGAACCATTACTTCTAAATATGTGTGAAAAATATATATTTCACTAATATAATAGCTCTAATTGGTGACAAGGAATGAGAAGGATTAATGAAATTCCTCTTCATTCCTTAAAAATACACCATTTATATGGAATTTATTTATACACACTAGGGTTTGCTCCGCGCTACGCGCGGATTATGTTTCTATAGATTTTGTTAATTTAGTTTTAAAATATGTCATTTTTACTAATAAATGATAGCAACTTTTAATTTTTTAAAAACAATCCTATTAATTCGAATGCTTTAAATGTAAAATATCACTTTAGTAGATTTAAACCCTATATATTGTAAACCCAAACCTTTATTTACAAAATTAGAAGTAGACTTTAGAAGAGAAAATGCTACAATAAAATAACTTAACTATTTTCAAATGTTAAAATTGTTTTCACTACCTGTATTAATCAATATGAAAGAGTGAAACAACCAATTAAACCAAATTACTCATAGCTTTGATATCTAGGCAATGTATAATATTGTCTGTTTGAAGATTTGAAATTTCAAAACAAAATTTGAACTTTATATGCTTTAAGTTTAAGTAGATGTTCTCTTATCTATACTATATTAATACAATTGAGACAATATTTATTAACATATAGTTTTAAACAGATTTAATATATTTACAATAACCAACAAATCAACAACTAATACAGAAAAACCAAACGTATCCACCATCAAAATAAACGCCTCATCTTCAAATTACACCATCTGCTCCAAAAGCTAGAGCTTCGACATTAATCTTTAAAAATTAAAACGATATCTTAATTACATTATTGACATTATTAGCACTAAGATATATAGAAGAGTGTTCAACCGTCAAGTATTGTATATCTTAGTAGGAAAATTTTGATCTTGAAACAAAGCTTACAAAAAATTATGTAAATGCAAAAAAGTTGGGCACTTACCATTTTTTTATATTACTTACATCAATCTTAATCAGGAGACCTTATAACTTTTACCAAGACCAGCTAGTGTACTACACTGTTTTTATAGCATCTTAGCTTCCATTCTTTTGACTCCCATTTATGCCTGCATAACCATATGAATACTACTCTGTTTTATAGCATCTTTTTTTTTTGTATTTATAGCATCTTAGCTTCAATTCTTTTGACTCCCATTTGTGCCTGCATAACCATATGAATATGAACTTCAATTAACTTTCCAAACGCCAAAGCATAATTAATGTATTTATAAGAGAATGTGGTTTCTCTTAGAGAATACCCGATCTCTCATCTCTTACTTATGAATTTTTTATTATCCTTGATAAGTCGTAATAATAGCTCACTAAGTGTTCTTGCACTTAACTTTTGACCATCAAATTTGTAATGAACTCTAGCCATATCCTCTAATTTTGAATCTCTCTACTCCTATCTTCACTTGGACCCCGGAAAATCTCTTATTTGTCTTTTCTAAGCTTAAGACCTCACTGATTTTGATATATCCTTACCGCTTCTCAACTTATCCTTACCGCTTCTCAACTTATCAGCTACAGTTTCCAATGATTTTTCACTTTTTATATTCACCATTAACCATCAATCTATCATTCTGCTATCTCTGTAGTAATTCATAGCAGCTTTATCTTTATTAAACATCTTCAGATAGCTTGCTTTTTTTCTTTTCCGTCCAAGTTGTATAATCACCACACCTACCATATGAACTTCATGTTTCTGTTTCCTCTATATTTCTCAGAAGCCATATACTAAGATCAAATACTAAATAGTGACCATGTTTGAATCTGTATTAAATACTAAATGTTTCTGTATTCTAACATTTTGTGAGGATTTAGCAAAGCAAAGATCTATTAAGAAGTATATATGATTGGTATCAGTTTTTTTTGTAGATTTAACTGAACAAAGTTCTTGTTGTTCGTTTTACAAAGATTTTCTTTGACAACGATGAGTATGTTATCAATTTTCCCATTTGTAGCATATTATTATACGTTAAGACATCAATAGATTCAAACCACTTCAAGGTTGATTTCTAGCTCATTTAAAATGATGGATGACCATATCTTTACAACTCATTTCACACAACATATATTCTACTCGAACCACTTTTACCCCTTTCTTATGGATTTGCCTACCAGCCAAAACATGTTCCATAAGGTAATTTAATTATGTCTTAGGTTAGAGAAATACCATGTTTTAGCCCATGGAGCTCTGAGGGCGAGCTGGTGAAAGGTGAAAGGTTAAGCACTTGCCATCAGTTTTCTCTATGCGAGACTCTCTCTGTGAACCTCACGACAGTTACTTTGATAGTTGGAATCTTGTGTACCTTCAAATCATCGATAACAGGTCCAATCAAGACAGGAATCTAATCTTCCTATAGTATCGAAACACAAAAAAACGCATTCAGAACTCATAGCGTAGACTAAATATGGTCTAGATAAGAGAAATCCAATCAAATATTAGAAGCTTAAATATTGCAGACTAAGTTTAGATAAACTGTAACGACTTTAGTTCACATATTGGAAAACTGATTCTAAAGAAATGGAACAGACTCAAGGACTAATTCAACATATAAGGTACAGAGAGTGAGGCACAGACTCATGAATTTCACGATCCAAGATATAGAAAGTGTTGTGTTGTTGTTGACTTTGCTCATGAAAAGCCTCTTCAATATCAACCGGTAAAGCTGCAAAATTTCAAAACGAAATTCCAAATCTCATATTCAGTACAATTCACCCAAATGAGAAATTCTTTGATAGAAACATTAAAAAAAGAGCGTAAAGTACATAGATTGCTTACACCGGAATCGACATGATTCAAAAAGACGTGGCGGTGGATTTTTGGTTGAGGATTTGAGCCAGAGGATGCCATGACTGTGAACGTATACGTTGTGTAAGCAGATTTTGTGACTTGTATTTTGGGGTTGAGCAAGTTCTATATAAAGAGGATGGAGAGATGGTGGCGATGTGGGAGTTATTACTTATTAGAAGGGTTGATGTTTGAGATTCCACATAGTGGGTATTTATAACAATAGAATGTGGGATGAGATGGAGTTTGTGGGGTGATTAAGTTTGAAGTTCATTTGTAACGGAAGATACCTTTGATTGAGCTATGATTTTTGTTTCAGATGTATTGGAGAGAGGGAAGAAAAATAGTTTCAGAATTTTAGGTCAGAAAAGTAGCAATGAAAGTGATGAATTGATCTTTGATTTGAGTTTTCTATGTGGGCTGGACTTCAAATGTGGGTTTTTAAAATTGGGCCTTTATCGATTCGTCTTCCGTGGCCGTGTGTGATTTGTTAGACGTTGGAATTTTTTTTTAGGGCATGAGTTGTAAAAGTTTTGTAAAGTTGCAAATAAATCGTTTAATCGGGTGAAAGTAATTTGGCATTATAAGAGGTTGTGATTGGCTGATTATTTTCCTGATTAAATTGGCTTACGTGGTTAGCCTTAGAAGTCAGCAAAGTAATCCCTTTTATATAAAGGAGATTCTCTTCATTTCTTAAAAAAAAATACACCATTTATAAGAAATATTTTTGCACACTATTTTTTGCTATTCCTTAATATTAAGAAATTATAAAACAAAAATATTCCTCATCAAATTAAAGAACAATAAGAAAAATACATTTTCATTATTTTTTTTCCTTTTCATTTCTTTCCTATTGTTGGAGGTGAAAACCGCATCCCGGTTTTCTCCGGTACAAACCGAGATCGGCGTAATATAAGCCCGGTTCACGAAGGAATGTACCGGGAAGACTGGGCTGAGTAAAGTCTTGGGCCGAACGCAGCCCATTAAGCCGAAGTCGGCGGGAAGCTTCTCAAAGGAACGGAGAAGCTCCTCGAGTTCGGTCGAAAATAGGAAAGTTTCCTAACGGAAAAAGGAAACTATCACGAGGAAAGGAAAGGAACCGAGAGAAAAGGAAAGTCCTCTCGGTCCCATATCGCCGAAGATGTGCTTGAAGACCGATTCAGAGGATATATATAAAGGGAGATGAATCGACACCAGAGAACATAAGATATTTCAGAGAAGACTTAGAGACTGAGAACTCATTACGCTAAATTCTTAGTTTCATTAAGTCTTAGTTCGTTGTTAACTACTTAACTACCGAACTCAGTTGTACTTTCTCGATTCGATCTAATAAAAACCGAGTTTACCGATCTTAAAGTACTGTTTTACCCCTTGTCGATATTCACATATCAAAAATTGGCGTGCAAGGTAGGGGGACTAAACAGAATTTTTCAGTCTTAGATCGGACTTTGGATAGATCGAATCAGCAATGACGGATCAAACCAACATTCACGAGGATGGAAACCCTCTCGGTGGAGAGAACGCTAACGTCCCAGCGGAACAAGGCGGAGGAATTCCTGGGGAAAACGCTGGAACGGTAGCCGGCCAAACCCCCGCGGCCGTAGGAGGTTTTGGAACTGAATTACTGCTCCAAGTGTTCAACGCCCAATTTGAGGCCATTAACAAAAGGAGCGAGGAACATTTCAGTCAGATGGCGGCACAAATCGCCGAGCTCAGTCAAGCACGAACTCCCCTTCGAGTTCGGAACATCATTGACGATCTTAATACTGACGGAGATCCAGCCGGAACTATGAGGTCTACCGCAGTCGGATCAGCGAATGCACCAGCATCGGATTTGAGCCAAGACGCCGAGTTCGAAGCAATGAAGGCGCAACTTCGCGAGATCACCTCGAAGATACATCAAGCAACGAGCGCGGCTCCGGAGATCGAGCGCGTCATTCAGGAAACACAGAAGACACCCTTCACACCGCGCGTAGCAGGAACGCCGGTCAAACACATGGAGAAACTAAAAATAAAGGTCTATGAAGGCAATACTGACCCCCAGCACTTTTTGATATCATTCGGCATCTGCATGAATCGCTACCAGTTCAAATCTGCTGAGGAAAGAGATGCAGTTCAGTGCCAACTATTTGTGGAAATTCTGGGAGGAGTAGCTCTCGACTGGTTCTCGCGACTCGAGGCCAATTCGATCGATAACTATAAGGAGTTGACGACGGCCTTCGTCAAACACTTTTCCATGTTCATCGGACAAAACACCAAGAATTCCAAGCTCTGGCAAATAGCCCAAGGACCAAACGAGAGCCTCCGCGATTTCATCCATCGCTACAAGACTATTGTCGCTAATTGTACGATCAGCGATGAAGCAGCTCTCTTATGCCTTCAGAAAGGAGCTCAGATTAAGACTAGCTTCCGAAGTGCGATCACGCATAACCCTCCACAGACGCTAGAAGACGCGCTACACCGAGCTAATAGTTACATTGCCGAAGAGGAAGAAGAAGCCACTTATGAGCAGAGTTATTCGACAAAGCAACCCGAACGTTCGAAAGCGACAACTAATGAACCACAGTCGGGATACGGTCGAGGGTACGAGAATCGTAAGAAGTTCTATGCTAATGCGATCCAACAACCGACCAAACAGTGGAACAATAAATGGGTCCGCAGTGAAGAAGATCAGGACGAGTCCTTGTTCTGCGAATTCTATAACCGGAGATGACATAGCACCGAAGAATGCAGGCACCTGCGAGAATATCTACTCGGCCAATACCAAAAAAGGCCAGTCTCAGTTGACGATCTCCGTCGCTTAAACGCGCCTAGGAACAGTGGGCAGACTTCGATCGACGATCTCCGTCGTTCAAACATGCCTCGACCGAATAACGCGCAGCTCGAGAACGCCATCACTAAAGATCCACCAACTCCACCAGCTTTACCGACGTTACCAACTTTACCGGCGTTACCACCACCGCCACCGAATCCGCCTGCTTTACCCGAACAACAGAAACGCAATCGCGACGACCGAGCACAAGAGAATCATGCTCCCAAAGCAAGGAAAAGCGTCAACATGATAATGGGGGCCATCGAAGCTTGCAGCTACTCTGTTCGAGCTATCAAAGAATACAGTAGACAGACCGCCAGCGCGCCCAAAGTCCCACAAGATCCGCCGAAGAGGACGCCTTTGGTATTTACCAAAGCCGACACAATCGTGCTGCATAAACCGCATAACGACGCCCTCGTCGTTGAACTACTTCTCGACGACGTCGAAGTTAGCCGCATTCTGGTCGATACAGGCAGTTCGGTCAACATCATCTTCAAGGAGGCACTCGATCAGCTTGATTTATCGTCCGATAGGATTGAGCCTTTTATCGAGCCACTTACAGGTTTCGATGGAGATCGTTGCATGACGGTCGGCATGGTCAACATCCCAATCTACCTCAGTGGAATCGCAAAGATTATCCAGTTCCTCATCCTCGACAAACCGGCGATCTTCAACGCTATTCTCAGTACGCCTTGGTTACACGCGATGAAAGCGGTCGCCTCGACGTACCATCAATGCCTGAAGTTCCCGACTCCCGATGGTGTCTACACTCTCCGAAGAAACCAAGTCGTCGCTCGATCATGCTACATAAACGAATGCAAACTTCATTTAGTAGACCAAGCTTGTGTCATCAGTTCGTTAGGACCGACGAACGAGCTCGTTGTCCAGCAGGCAAAACCTAAGCAGGAGTCGATTGTTCAAGTTTGCATCGACGAACTAAGACCAGAGCGTCAAGTCGGAATCGGCGCCGAACTCGACCCACACATCCGCGAGCCACTTATTCACTTTCTGAAACAGCATTCGTCAACCTTTGCTTGGTCGGTAGAAGATATGCCCGGGATCGATCCACAGATCGCGTGTCACGAGCTCAACATCGATCCGACGTATTAGCCAATTAAGCAGAAACGCCGAAAGCTCGGACCAGAGAAGGCACAGGCCGTCAACGATGAAGTCGAGCGGTTGCTCAAAGCAGGATCCATCACCGAAGTCAAATATCCCGATTGGTTAGCAAACCCCGTAGTAGTCAAGAAGAAGAATGGTAAATGGAGAATCTGCGTCGACTTTACCGATCTCAATAAGGCGTGTCCGAAAGATAGCTTTCCTTTGCCTCATATCGACCACCTTGTGGAAGCGACTGCCGGGAACAAACTACTCTTGTTCATGGACGCATTCTCCGGATATAATCAGATTCTTATGCATCCGCAAGATCGAGAAAAGACGTCGTTCATCACAGACCGCGGCATATACTGCTATAAGGTCATGCCCTTTGGCCTGAAGAATGCTGGAGCAACGTACCAACGACTGGTAAACCGGATGTTCGCAAGCCAGCTCGGGCGAACTATGGAAGTTTACATCGATGATATGCTTGTGAAATCACTCATCGCTTCCGATCACGCCGGTCATCTTCGCACATGCTTCGACATCTTGGACCAGTATGGCATGAAGCTTAATCCCACTAAGATAAAATTATGTTCAAACATCATCTACTACATACCGATCTAGTACTTGGATATTATCACAAGTCGTTATCGACGAAATAGAGTCAAAATTCAAATTAGATACCGATCTATTACTTAAAAGATTCTTTCTAAGTCAAAGATCACTCTTCCAGTACGACACAGTTCACGTGGGTTCCCCAGGCCGAGTTCAAACGCTCGCACAATAAGCCGAACTCCTCAGATTCGCACCGTAAGCCGAGTTCTCAACACTCGCAAAACGTAAGCCGAATTATCGCAATTCGCTATCAAAAGATAAAATTATGTTCAAACATCATCTACTACATACCGATCTAGTACTTGGATATTATCACAAGTCGTTATCGACGAAATAGAGTCAAAATTCAAATTAGATACCGATCTATTACTTAAAAGATTCTTTCTAAGTCATCGAGATACGAAAGAGAGAAACGAGCATATAATTAAAAAGCCTCCCGAGAGGCAAATAAGTTCAAGAATCCACCAAGGGTTCGGAAATAAAGTATTACAAACAAAATAAACCCATGAAAGGGCTAATGAGTTTGAGTCAAAGAAGAAAAAGAAAAGACTAGGCAGTCTTTGAAGTAGTAGCTTGATCGGCGTTAAGCATCTCCTCGTTAGAACTGAACAGCTCGCTTACCACCGGGTCATGAGCACTCTGAGTAACATTCACGGCCGACGCGTCATCTTCCTCCGAAAACGGAGACATTCGCTTATCCTCTTCAGTTAGGACGCAAGCATCGACCGAGCGGAAGTCCTCCAAAGCTTTAGCATGTTTCGCCTCGATGTCAGCTACCATCTCAGGCGGGACCTCGTACAAGCCTTTCTTCTTGAGCTGCTTGATGAAGCCGAGAACTCCAGTAAGCTGGTTGACCACCAGGTACGGCTTACGAGCTCGATCAGCGTCGTCCAAGCTTCGAATGACCTTCTCTAAGCGCTCGCATGCCTTCGCGTGAACGCTCTTAGCTCGACTCTTCCAGTGGGTCACCAAGTCCCTCAGCCGGTCCCGGTCCTTCTCGAACTCCTGAACAAGCGTGCTTTGAGCCTCGGTCACCTCCTTTCTCACTGCTTTCAACTCCGGGCTCTCTTGCTTTAGCAGATCGACCGAGGAGTGGAGAGTTTCATTAATTTGGAGCTCGGTAGCGAGACACTCTTTCGCTTTGGCGACCCTCTCCTCGAGCTCAGCAGCTCTAACTTGCTCGTCATAAAGAGCTACCTCGTACGCGGCAACCAGAGTGTTGGTCTGGCTGGCGAGCTATACAAAGTAAAGTATGGGTTAGAACTCGTACTTAGGAAAAATATCAAAATAAAGAAAAGGAATAGAGGAAGTACCACGGCAGTTGTGCGAGCAATCCCTTTGTACAAGTTAGGGAACCGGAGCTCAGATATCGCCGGGAGACTCGGGACGTCGGAGGAGATCTTGTGGTAAAGATCGGCGCAAGCATCCACGTTCTCCTCAAAAGGACCCTCTTCGTCATAATCAAAACACACCTTAGTCCTTTTGGCTGGCTCTGGCCCTGGAGAGCCTTCGGTGTGATCCTCGGCCTGCCTCTTCCGAGAGTGAGAAGCCTCAACTCGATCCTGAGAAAGAGCGAGGTCCGAAGCCACAGCCGTCGGTGGATTGAGCTCGGCGGGTGCATCCTGCGCCCGAGAAGAGTCTTCAATCCTCTTGGTTTTCTTTGAGGACTTCTTCTTCTTTAATTTCTTCTGACCGGCTTGGTCAGGTGAGTTCGCAGCAGGTGGCAGCTCTTCCGGTTGCTCAATGGTCCCTTCGGTAGCAGGGATAGGGGTCGGATCGGCGACGTTCGGTTCCTCCCCGTCGAACAAGGTGGGGATATCGTCGAGTGAAAGCATCCTTGCTGTCCGGGTTCGTTTGGCTTGTGACTTCGGTGCCCTTCGTCTTGGAGCAGCTCGGGGCTTGTTAGCTCGAGCTTTTGGTTCCGCGGTTTCGGTTTTCGAACAGAAGCTGCAATGGAAATATGTCAAGGAGGAGCTCGGAGTAAACTCAGAATAAAACAAATAAAACTGAATTCAATAATCAACACTTCAGGCCAACGACGTTTACCGGCTTCGCTGAAAGCTGCTTCGAATTCGGAGGTAAGTCCGGAGTTGAGAATAATGCTCGGGAGATGACGAACTGCAAAGATTAATCAAAGGAAAATTAGCAAGATGTAAAGTTGATAAGAAAAGCGACTAAGTATAAGATCATCTAAATCTACCGATCGGAATCTTCCACTCCGATTGAGTTGGGATGTCAGAATTACTGATTGTGAGATCGTTCATCTCAAGGAAGAAGTACATGGTCATTGAATTTACTAGGTTTAGCCCCAGTGACGATGTTCTTCTTCGGTTTGGCGTTCGCTGCGAAGAACCACTCCTTAGACTTGTGGATGTTGACCGAGAAGATATCTTCGAACAGACGACTAGAGGGGATTTCGCCGAGCTCATCGCACAAAGTAACGAACCCTACGTAGTTCGTTATCGAGGCTGGCATCACCTGCGTGAGAGCTACGCCGCGCCGGTTACAGTACCCAAGAATACGAGAAGGGATCGGAAGCGAAAGTCCGCATTGCGTGAAATAAGTCAAATATACGCAGAGGAAGCCTTTGGGGACGTCCCATGGCCGATCTCCGGCTTCTGGAATTATGAAGATGACTTGATCCGAGAGCCCGTGTTCTTCAAGTACGGCTCGAACAGCACCCGGAGAGACAGAAGAAGATGGGACGTTGTTGGGACGAACGACCTTTCGTCTTGGAAGTGGTGGCGAAGCATGATCCACTGCATCAAGGTTGTCTTTGGCAACTTCCGCTTCGTTAGCGTTCTCCTCCTGATTTTCTTCTACGAGTTCCTCGACCTCCTCGATCTCATGGTCGATACCACCAGCGTTCGGTCCAGCACGAGCTTCCGTCTCGCGAGTTTCTGTCGCCAACTGCTCGGTAGCTTTGACTCTTGGTCTAGCATGGCTGCTGCTCGCATCAGCAGACCTAGAGTTCTTGCGAACTAGATGTGGGGGATTGCTTTCTCCCTGAGACGAATTCGATAGATGAGGGTTTGAGGAGGAAGAGCTCGGCTCTGAGGATTCGCGGCGATCCTCTGGAAGGATTTGATTAGAAGAAGAGTTAATTGAAGAACTGGAAGACATTTTGAGCTCGGAAAAGTAGATTCAAAGGAGATCTAAGAAGGATGAAGAACAGTTTGAAGATTAACTGGAAAAGATTGAAGATTGATCGGAAAGTTTGAAGATCGAACGGGAAGTTTGAAGATTGATCGGAAAAATCGAGGGTTTGAGGCGGCGAAAGTTGAAGAAATGAGAGAGAACTACGAATAAAAACTAGAGAGAGAAACAAAAATCTAGAGAGAAGGGAGAGCAGCGTACCTTATATATGCTTGAACGAGAGTAATGAATGTGAGAAGAAGTTTTTCCCTTATAAACAGTGGGAATCGTGGGTTCCTCGATTTTCGCGAAGATCCCGGAATTCACGCGCCTCATTGAAGACATGGTGTGAAACGTCCGGGAATGCGAATCGATTGCAAATTACCGATCTCAGTTTGTGACTTACTTTGAATCAAATGAGTTCGACTGAAGCCACTTCCTTTCATCGAAGTGAGGGGGGGGCTAACTGTTGGAGGTGAAAACCGCACCCCGGTTTTCTCCGGTACAAACCGAGATCGGCGTAATATAAGCCCGGTTCACGAAGGAATGTACCGGGAAGACTGGGCTGAGTAAAGTCTTGGGCCGAACGCAGCCCATTAAGCCGAGGTCGGCGGGAAGCTTCTCGAAGGAACGGAGAAGCTCCTCGAGTTCGGTCGAAAATAGGAAAGTTTCCTAACGGAAAAAGGAAACTATCACGAGAAAAGGAAAGGAACCGAGAGAAAAGGAAAGTCCTCTCGGTCCCATATCGCCGAAGATGTGCTTGAAGACCGATTCATAGGATATATATAAAGGGAGATGAATCGACACCAGAGAACATAAGATATAATTCAGAGACGACTTAGAGACTGAGAACTCATTACGCTAGATTCTTAGTTTCATTAAGTCTTAGTTCGTTGTTAACTACTTAACTACCGAACTCAGTTGTACTTTCTCGATTCGATCTAATAAAAACCGAGTTTACCGATCTAAAAGTACTGTTTTACCCCTTGTCGATATTCACATATCAACACCTATTCATTCTTATTATTCCTTTAATGGCCACCAATTAGAGTTAATAAGATTTTGAGCAATATGTTAAAGACATAGATCAATCCATTCATTGTCAATTTATTTTGAATTAAAATCTATAAACTTTAACATGGTAGCATAGCCAAATTTAAATGTGTATCCTATGTATAGAAGTTATAAATATAATGAGGCCATCAATATATTTTGTATATAATGTGTCTTAGTAACTTTATGAATGAAAACAAATCTTTACAATTTTAACATGATAACAGAGCCCAAATATTTTTTTGCTGCAACGTAAGTCATATAGGATATAACATCTCATCATATATATTATATATTATAAGCGAAGTAAAAATTTCGTTTAAAGCTCTCTCATTTAATCTCAGGATGGTTAATTACCCTTTACCCCTCCTTAAATTAGTTTAAATTAATTTTTATAAAAATATATATTAAAAAAACGAAAATAATGGTTTAAATTAGGTTAACAAACCATTATCATACCGTATATTAAAAAAAAACCAAAAACAACGGTTTAAGGTTTAAAAAATAAATACTTGGCGGCTAATTACCCTTTACCCCTTCTTAAATTAGTTTAAATTAAGTTTTATAAAAATATATATTAAAAAACGAAAATAATGGTTTAAATTAAGTTAACAAACCATTATCATACCGTATATTTAAAAAAAAAACCAAAAACAATGGTTTAGGGTTTAAAAACAAATACCTTTCCCTTAAAGAGCCTGCAGAGTAAAGTATCTGTAATTCTTTTGAATACTAAACTTCCCTGAAGGGCAACAACGATTGTATATGGATTTCTTCTGGTATTGTTCTCTTTTAAATAAAGCCATACAAGTGTTGCAAGTTGCAGCAGAAGTAATTAATTTTCAGACAAACTTTCTCTCGATGCCAAAATTCAGGTTTTTTTTAAAAGCTTGTCTTGGACCAGTTTGACTGCCGAGAAAACTGTGAAAGGAGAAAAAAAAAGTGATTTGGGATTTCTTTAAAGCCAAGACGAGAGACAAAACGTCAATAGGTTAAATTACGCAAATGATCTCTAAATCATTTTGCAAACTTATAAGCTTCTAACAGAGGACAAGCTAACGTATCTTCTGGGTTTTATCTTTAGCCATATAGTTGATCTGACAGATTTTCCAGGTTTTGTCGAGAAACCAAGCTTCTGTAATCATACGATCAAATCAAGGGGAATAAAGGGAAAAACTTTGGTTGAATCAGAAATTAGCTTCGGTTTCCAAAGTTGATCAACAACCCATCAGAGAAAAAGAGTTGAAAAAAAATTCAAATAGAGAAGTTAACAAAATTGGTTGAACAAAAAGAAAACTTTCAACTGTTCAACATTCAAATTAAGAGAATATATTTTTTGTTCCCACTTGGTGGGCGTCTTTTGACAAACAAGAGAGAGCGAGAGTGATATATTAAATTGTGTCTTATCTATTGATGACCGACAAAACCATTAGTTTTCATGGAGTATTTTCAACTGGGAAAATGCAAAGAAAAAGTGAGAGACACTAGAGAGGGAGAGAGATAGATGGTCGAAAAATAAGTAAAAGTGGAAGTTTTATAGCCACAAAGTTGTGGCCTTAAGCTCCACAAGAGGGAAGAAGAATGAAGAACACAGAGGTTATCGGTGAATCTTTTCTCTGGCCAATTACACAGAGGTGATCAGTGTATCATACCAAGGAGACTTGGTTCCCAAGGCAAATGAAAATAGCCAAAGCTTCCACTTTCCTTCCTGGTTGCTAGAGATTTTTGTAGCCGATATTATAAATTTATAACAATGTGCAACGATTAAAAACACATGTCCAGTTCTAATTCTTTGGCTAATCTATTATATGATCGATATATTGTATAAGTCTTCTATAAAAAGTTTTTTAGTTTGCATGATGATATATGTAACGGAAGGAAGAAGAGTGTTGTGGTGCACTTTTTCTATTAATATATAGGTTCATCTTTTTCTATTAAAATACCCAAATTAAAATGAAATCCAAGCTAAACTATAGGAAAGGTTCATCTTTTTCTATTAATATGTTTGGAATTACAAAAAATATCTCCAAAACATTAAAAAAAAATAAAGTATAAGAAACCGAAGAAGAAAGAAAACCTAGCAAATTTTGCCACAGATAACAACCTTAGACGTTGGCAGCCTGATTGGATTCGGTTGTGACATATTACTTTGGTCGAGTGAATTTCATGGACAACAAAGATGGTTTGGATGTGGTAACATGAATCTGTTTTTGGGATTTTAGGTTACGTTTAGTAGAATTACATGTACACGTGATAGGAAATGTTACCTAGCTTCACAGTGGGTCTTGTGTTTAACTACATAACTTTGAGGAAATTGTTTTAAAAGTTTGTGTGAGAGGGATGAAGAGAGAGAGACGTAAAGAGAGAAGTACGTAAAAGCCTTTAAAGACATATATATGGAGGGAATGAGTGAGAGAGAGAGGGATAGAGGGAATGAGTGAGAGAGAGAGAGATGGAGGGAATGAGTGAGGGAGAGGGAAAGAGGGAGCGAAAGAAAGGTGAAGCGCAAGAAGGAAAATGCATGAAAGACAATGAAGACAAAGTAAAAGAAGGTAAAAATGAGGAGAAATACAAGAAAAAAAAGACAAAGACGACAAAGAAGAAAAATCAAACAGTATAAAATGGGGAAAGAAAGAAAACGAAGAAGTCACATTTATCTTAATTTAGTTGGTTATAGGTTTCATACACTTATTTACTATTATTTTTTTGGTTTTTAGTTTTGGATGGTGTTACTTTTTTAGGATTAGTTATGTTTTTGATCTCATATGTCTTAAATGGGTTGTTCTAATTCTTTTATGTTTACAACTTTTAAAGTTTTTTTTAAACGTTTTTGAAATTTTTTGGTCTGCGGCGCAGGCTAAACACCTAGTATTGCAATATAAGTTAAATAATATACATTTTACAGAGAAAATATGAGCTAAAAAAAAAACAGTTTAAAACAAAATAATAAAAAAAAGTCGTATCTCAGTTTCATTCACTAGAAAAATCCGGTTCTACTGGTTTCTGAATCGAAGATATCATACCGGAATCCGATCCGCTACGAGTAAACTTCCCGCCGTTAACCGCTAGCCTAACCGCCGCAGACGCGGCCTCGAACCTACATTGAAATTCCTCTTTTACCCTCAGCTCACTCGCGTATTTCCTCTTCTTGTGCCGTCTCCAAGCAGCCTGCACGAAACAAGCCGCCCAAGTCCTCCATTGATGCGAGTAAAACCGAAACTTATGTCTCAACTGCTTACTATGCAATCTTCTAAACTGCGAAGCCACAAACTTCAAATCTTCAGCTCTCAACGCAAACGCTTCGACCTCATAAACCGCTTTAACCGTGCGTGTAGAAGACGGCAAGATCACAACGGGACGAGGGTCTAGTGCCCAAGTAAGCAACTCTTCGCCGCAGAAATCTCCTGGTCCAATGAGACAAGAGTTGAAGAACCCTGTCCTGCCTCCATTGGTTGTGTAAGAATCAAGATGCCCTCGAATGATGAAGAGCATTTCGTTAACCGGGTCGCCTTCTCTTACAAGAAACGTACCTTCAGTGCATAAAGCCGGTTTTAACCTCTCGCTGATCGCGTCAAGCATTCTCTCATCCATTTGATCGAACAATGGAACCTGATACGTTGCAAAAGAACCCTCAAGAAACGTTTTGAGAAAACTTAAAGAGATCAATGTAGAGAATGGCTTACACGGCGAACAAGATCGAAGCAGAGATGGCGTTTGATATCTCTTCGAAGATCAAGAGGAAGACTTATCAGTAAAGCTTCTTCATCGACTCCTCGTGTGGCTAACCACTTGTATTGATCATATTTTCTCACGGCTTGCCTTAGCTCTTGAGGAAGCTGTCTATGTCGCATCCATTGCTCTGTGTCTGTCCTCCTTATCCTCCATTCTTCGAGTCTCATTGTCGTTGATTGTAAATATGTCTGCAAAGAAATGAAAATGTTTCATTCTTTAATGATCAGAGAGAACTATGTTAAGTTGGTTATAAGTAAGTTCTTTATTTGATTGTTTTCTCACTTGCATATTCCCAATAAGCAATGCAAAGAGAACAAGCCCTAGAGTCGCAATGATGATAGCGAAGAGAATCTCGCCAGCGTAAGTGCTCGTGGCAAGATTCTGTCCCAAAGAGCTGAAGAATGAAGGCAAAATTAATGTCTAAACATGGTTTTTAAGTATTTTGAAAATGGTCTTTGAATTCTCACCTGAGGTTCTTTAATCCCCACCAGAGACAGTAAAAGTACTTGTTTATGAAGTTTGATGATGTAAGAGTTGTAGTTACTGCATCTCCGTATATACCAAACTCGTAAAACTTAGTTCCCGGTTCGCATATTTTCGTTATATTGCTCCATTCGAACCAAGAATTCCTCTGAGGATCTTCTAGTCTTCTGCACTCAAAGAATCTGTATTGACAAATCGGTTTCTCTATGTTGCAAGCATGTCTCCAACAAGCCTCTTGCCTCTCTACTGCAAGCAAATACCAACAAGCTCCTAAAACCTGTAACAGAAGATTTAATATAGATATCAAATTTATAAAGAACAAAGAACAAAGATATCAAATTTCTATGCTCATTCCAATTATCCAAAGCAAAGAGACTTGATTGGTGAAAGACTCTCAGCTCTTAACCAAATTATTAAATAGGCCCTAACTAACTCAAATCAGCTCCAATCTGCTACATTCAGTTTAGGCTAGATACAGTAAACCCTATCGAGGTTTGGTATTTTTTTCACACGTTTGTAATTCAGTTCCGGACTGGCTCCCTCTCGGGTGAGCCTTGTCTTTGTTTTTTATTTTGGGATGACTAAGAGGTTCTGGGCCAAAGCCCGGGATCAGAGCATGTTATACAGTCCTGTCCCAAGCGTTATTCGATCTCGTGACATCTAGATTCTACTTAACTATCAATAAAATAGACTTTTCTTAGAGTTGAGTTGCTTACATGGCTTGCTAGCATGTATAACATAAGGTTGTAGGCGGCTCCTGCCCAAGCAGTCTCGGTTACAACACCAGTGGCTTTAATGATCTGGCGAGAGAGCGGGAATATGAGGAACATCCTTGGAACATACTGGAAAATGATGATGAATCTAAGAACGTTCTTGGTGTTTGTCATTGGTGAGCCTCTTAGATTTGGGATGATGATCCAAATCAACACCTGAAAAGAAAAATTGTAACAACCAAGATTCTAAGTCACTGAAGCTGGAGGATGTATATATTGATCATATATAACATACCTGAGGTAAAGGTAAAGCAGCTACTAGATGAATCCAAAAGCTTTTATGGAGATATCTCCAAGCAATCTTTCTTGAATCAATTACGAGTTCTCCTCTACCAAATACACGTGAAGGAGGAGCGATATAAGCCGTTCTAAAACGTATAACAATCTGAGCGACGTAAAAAGCATCGGCCAAAGATCTAATTAGCGTGAGAACCACCTCGAGTCTAATTCCAATGGTGATACAAGCTTCTTTTCTCATGACCGGCAAGAAAAAAAACAGAGGATCGACAAACAGAGAGACCAAACATGCTATGAGAAAGATCTTGTTCCATCTTCTTATTGTTTGTCCACGAGGATCGAGTATTTTGCTTTTCACTCTCTCAAAATCCTCAGAGAACACTCTTGAGAGTACTTTAGCTTTCAAAGACTTTCCTCTACTCATCATCTTTACATTCTTTTTACAAGGAATCTGAATTCCATTGATATTGAACTTGACCTTAACTCCAGATTCTTCATTAACAGTTTGTGGCTTTGTTACTTCTGAATCTTCTTGGAATCTATAACACACACAAGAAAGTGGGTTACGTTTTATAAAGGAAGATAAAGATTATATGATTTAGAACAAAAACAGAGTCAATCTTCTTGACAAGTCCTAACCTCACAGATCTTGAGTTACCAAAACCCATTATTGCTTCCTCTTTATCAAATCCTCTGCTTTTCTGATTAACGACACGAGAAATTACAAAACTTTACAGGTATTGATATTTTGAAACGTGAATTGGAGCTTTACTTTAAGTAAAAACCCATTTAAGCCACAAGAATATCAACTTGGAAACATTAAATTCCCAGACAAACAGGGAAGAAAGCTAAAACCCATATTGGGATCAGACAGGCACACGTGTGTTTTGTATACAACTGTACCAAAAGATCTAATAATTTCTAGTAATGATTAGCAAGAAAGAGGAGCTTAATGTGATGATTAAAAGAGGAAGTAGATGAGCTGAATTTGGTTCAGGAATATAATCGAATCAGAACGACTAGTGAGGCAGAAAAACTGGGGAAAAAGTTGCAGTCGCTTAGGTTACAAGCAAAACAAGACCGCAAAACCCAGCAACAGATACAGACTAGTTTTACGGGAAAATGTCAGAGATGTGAAAACAAGAAAAAAAAAAGGAAAGTTGAAATTAAGCCACCGACACAACACTATACAACACAAAAGAGCTGTAAGAGAATCAAGTAGGACCAGTAAAAGAGAAAATGAAAGCAAAAACGACATTGAGAGAAAGAGACTCACAGAAACGTTTAGTGTTCTTCGTTCATATATGTTTCTTGGGTCTGTTCGTATTCAGACAAAGATTGAAAATTAATCTTTGTATTTGAGAAAACGAGTGATTTCGAATTGAATATAGGTGTTAAATTTCCACTGAAGTGGTATGGACAAAGTGGAACTTTTCTTGTACGGATCACATGATTATAAAGACCCTTTAAAGTAGCTACTATGGCTTTAGTTATTTACATTATATGATTATATAAAATACAAAGCCATATTATGAAGGAAAAAACACAAATTGGTTTTCTTTATCGGATTAAAAAATTGCGAATAAGTAATGTTGTTTTTGAGATTCAAAGAAGGCGACAGAAGTAAAATCGAATGTGTCCTCATGTATTTACACTCTATAGGGAATCCTAACATTTTACTTTACAAAAAAAAAAAAAGAAAAGAATCCTCACTTTTCAATTGAGTTTTTTTTTTTGTTTTTTTTTCGTTTCAATCTTTATAATGCGTAGTTTTATCAGTGGGCTTAAACAAATGTCGGTTTTATTTCATCAAACAAAAAAAGTTGTGTTGCAAATCGTTGAGTTCTGAGTTTTGACCATCCCATAGACGTAGGTTTTTTTTTTGACGTCACGTAGGTTCTTTTTTTAAACATATTTTTGTAAGTGTTTTAAACATAGAAATATAGTTGAAGGTATCTAATGTAATAAAAACTGAAGAAAAAAATTCTGATAAAATCCTAAACCAGTTGCTAATTGCTATGGATAACGTGAAATCCTGAAACATATTATATTGACTTCTTATGTGATTGATTGTGATAGTTAAAATTTTCATAGAAATGTGAAACCATTTTCTATTTTGAAATATAATAAAATTTGGAAACATTTTCTATTTTAAAACAATCTGAGTAAATTTGTTAAATTAAATTTAAATAAAATATATATTTACTAACTACTATATTGGGTTTAATGTCTGTGTACATATGTATTGTATACAGTATACTACACTTCCAAGTTAATTAGTTGGTGGTTTGTAAGATCCGAGGAGTTGACTCTTTTTGGAATCCAGCCATGTGTTTTGTACCAGTTCTTGAATGGACCACACTGCTTGACCTTCAAGTTTCTTATATTTTTTTAACTATTCCCTTTTTTCCATTTACTAATAAATTTTGCTTAGCTTGTTTGTTTTGGATATCTATCTTATTTACGCTAAGTCGCTAAAGTGGCTATGTTAGCATTTTAGTCCACGCTAAAGTGGTGAAACCAAACAATCTTCACTGACGACCTGAGGAATAATGGTGCCAATTTGTTAGTTAAGACAGTTTACTTTCTAAAAACTAAATTCATGACTGATCCATGTAACTATAAAATATTGTTTACGTGTTTAACTTAAAGCGATTATCTTACTGCTATTTGTAATCTAATAATGGCTATTCAAGCAAGCCCTTTAACCAAAAAAAAAAAGTAATCTAATAATGGCTTTTGTTAACGTCGTGGCGAAATTATTACCTGGATTGGCAACTTGTATGAGTTGTAGACGAAGTATTTGCACCGTTGCCTTTGTTTTCTAGTTAAATATATCTGAGACTACAAAGTAAATAACTACTATATATAAGTAATAAGGATAAAATTTAGGTAAACTGGTTACAAATCTCGACGCATTTCCTCATCAGATTAGATTGCTTTAATTGCACCAAACGTATCTTTAGTTTAGATTATTAACATGTCATAAAAATATATATACTACGACTATTTGCATTTCTTTATGTTTGAAATATATATTATACTTTATAGTGAGAACAAATAAATTCATATAATATGAATAGGTCAATGTAGTCTCGAAAGGTTCTCTTAGAGCAAGAGGACACCTTTTAAAAACTAGAAACAAATGGATACACCTTCCACCACTTGGAAATTCTTAAAAAATTCCATGAATTTTATTTTACATTCTCAACTCTTGTATATTGTAAATTTCACTTAATTATATGTTGACAATGATTTCAACGAAAATTCATTTGTTTATACTTTATAAAGAGTAGAGAATGATAATTTAATTATGGATTTTCATTATACATATGTATGTTTAGCAGTTTATGTATTTTTATTAACAAGAAATAAGGTGTGTACAAGATATAGAACTTCATGTGCATTTTCTTACATATTATATGATCACAAGGAAAAACATACATAACTTGTAAAACTTAAATATGAACTGATATTTAAAAAAAAAAAACTAACTGATATTTTTTTTTTGTTTGACAAAATTTTGTTTGGCGAAAAAGAACTAATGTATTTTTAGGTCAGCAAATAGGAAATATACAAAACTTGCATCATTATTTATGCATATTTCTTTATTTCTTATTTGGTTCACTTTTATGAGGTAAAAAAAAAAAAAATTAAGAGACAAAGCTTGGGTTGGCAATTAATTGACGGTTTGATTTGGAATAAATGGCTTTGGTGTGGCGAGGCCACGGGAACACGACATATGGGCTTTTCTGGATTGATCCCATATCATATCATCCCCCACCTTCTCTTCCTTCGATTATCCAAAAATTGTTTGCTACTCAATTATTATTCCAAGACATTTGTAACAAAATATTCACAATATATAACAATCGGATGGTATGCCACCATTTTTCTATCAAAGATTCTTGTTAACGATTGGAAATGATTTAACAAAAAAAATGTTGAAATATTTCTTTCTTCTGAGGAAGGTTTTTAACGCTTAGACTTAGTTTATTGAAACAAATATGTGTAACCAAAAAAAAACCAGAAGAAATGTTTGAATCCCGAGTTATTAGTCTATGTGATTAATGCGGTTCAATTTTAATTCCTATGTTACTCTATTTATCTAGATACGGTCGAACAATAAGATGAGGGATAATAGACCAAAGACAATGCATGACACTCTCTAAACTAAGGATCTTTCCGCTTACTACGTACTCAAAAAATACCATATGAGACCTCCATATCATTTTTACGTTTTTCTGATGATTGTATCACAATCGATGCATGCAACAGCTCGATATGCTCTCTAGAGCTGTTGTGGAATAATTTCAAAAGCTAATATCAACAATGCAGAAAAAAAAAAAAATACTTTCGAGACTCTCAAAACTACATTGTTAAACAACAAAAACAGAAATTACCTTTAAAAAAGTTATGAAGCAAGAGAAAGTCCATGAATTCAGTATTTTGCCTTTGAACTTTTTCAGCATGTCTTTGAGATTCTTTAGGTAGTCAAGAAATATCAAAGTACCCCATAGAAATCTTTCACAGAGATTCAGATTGTCCACTATCTTAAGAAAGAAGAAGGTCTAAAAACCATTCTTTTTTTTTTCTAATGACAGATCCTATGAAAAAAACACTGCCATCTTCAAAAAATCTTCATTGTGCTCTTCTATTGATATTAGTTTCTCACTCACTTCTGCAATATCTATTATACCTCTGTCTAGAAAGTACTTCTCAGCAAAACTTAAACTTAAACAATGTTTGTCTTCAAAGCTTTTCTCATAATCTGATGGAAGCTCATCGCAACATAATCCAGTTAACAATGCATGTTCCCACATGGAATATCTAATGGGAATTCCATTGACAATAAACCAGCATTCATCATCCTTGATATAAACTGTCCTAAGAACTAAGAGCTAGAGCCCACAGTCCCATAAGCTTATAATTATTCTGTCTAGGCATATGTAATATATGTTGAAATTGCGGGTGATTCTTAAACTATATAGTCTTCACTTTCAGTTTTCCCTCTATGATGAAAATTGTGTCACTAATTTTGCACATCGAGCCGACATAACATTTCTTTCTATAACATGATTGATCAAAGAATAATTTCTCAGGTGGAGGAACAAACTCTACATCTTGTGATCTATGCAAATGTAAATCCAAAAGAAAAGGAATGTCAATATATATCTAAACAAGTCCGCACAACAAAATAGTGAAACCAACCACCATACAAGCATTCAACATCAAAACATTCAAAAAAAATTAACAACTTCTCTTATTTATCGACCAGAACTGAAGAATCTCAAATATGTCCACAACATATTTGATGTTTTTAATAAACAAAAAACTTCTTTAAAAAAATAAAAATAAAGAAACAATATTTATGAGAATCCATTTTTGGAAATCTCATTTATAGCGATCCATTTATGAAACCTCATTTTTGATGATGCATTTATCATAAAAGATCACCATAAATGTAAGTTTATATAATTGTACTTTCCATAAACTTTTATATGTTCATTTTTTTAAAAGTGCGCAACACTTGAACATAATATTTGGTCATTCATCATAGTTGAACATAATATATTAAACAAGAGATTTTAGCTTTGTTATTTTACTAAAGATGAGATTTTGGATATCTTGCACCACTAAAATATAAAATCATATAAAAAGGCTTCGATTACTTAGGAACAGGGCCGGCCCACAC